TCGTTCAAAATGTCTCGGGGGAAAAAAAAAAAAAAATATGTGTCAATTTAGGGGTTTCAGATGCTTATTTAATCGATTTTAAATTATCATGGTTTTTCTCCTCGATGGGTTTTATTCTTTTTGGTACCCCTCCCCTCCCCTCCCCCGGTAGCGCCGCCACTGTCTATAGACGTTTGTTAAAATTCGGCCCCAAACATGGCGGGGTATGTAGGGTTTGGTGTGTACCCGGCCCAAATTGTAAGGCAACCAAACTCAAAAACCGGATACGCCCCATGCAGCCTGATAAATAAGTACAAATCATTAAATCTACGTTGTGGGACAATATGTATTCTATAATAATATTATGAATTAGAATGTATTTTACGTCATAATGTTATTCCAAAAAACCGCTCGTCATAATGTTATTCCAAAAAACCGCTTGTGGTACAATAATAAACATGTTCGAGTTCACCGATTAATATTCAGATTACGCCCTCTTTGTTGAAATGTTCGCTGCTTGATAAATTTCATCAAAAAGTGCGTCTGGTGACTGGCCTACTGTATATAATATATATCTGTACTTCCGTTACGGTAATTCAGTATAAGCATGTGACAATTGGATATGGCGATTCAGCAGGAAACAAAATACACACTATAACAACTGTGAATATGTACGATATAACTGAATGTAGACTGAATTACCAACAGTTGACTTGCTGCTGGTAATGTTATTTCAATAGCCATCAACATTACAACTATAGTGTAATATTTGACAAGATTTGTACGCAATAATCGTTAACAAGAACGACGAAATCACGTAGTTTAAATATAACTTTATAAGCGATACTTTCACTTCATAAAATCACTTGCAATATAGGCAAATTTCATAAAATCTATAGGCTTGTGGTTACAAAGACAATGTCATTATGTCAATGTCACAGTGTAATCGAATTGTGTATTTCTTTATTCTTTATCAATCGCATTTGTGTTGTGTTTCTTTTGATATGGACATTGTCTGAAATTAAAAGAAACTGAAATTGAATTACCATCATCATCATAATCACCGCCATTATTTTCATCAATGTCGCCATCACCATTATCATTACTACCATTACCACTACCATCATTACCGTCACCATCCTCACCATTAAAATCATCACGACCACCAGCACATTATCATCACCACCACCACCACATTCATTATCATCAAAATCTTTATCACCATTATACTATTACCATCAGTACCATCGTCATCATAATCATCGTCGTCACATCACTTCCATTTTCATCATCAGCGTCATCATGACCTCGTTGTCATCCTCATCATTATAAAAATCCGTTTATATATTCACTACCGTTCAATCGGCGTGATGACAACAACATCGAGAACAACAAAAACAACACCATAACTAACAACAGCAACAACAATAGGCATCACACTATAATTTTAATTATCACATTACTAGATGAAAATCGTTCAACAATTACAGGTTACACCATTACTATTATTTTAAATATGGCATTACTGTTACCATTATGTTTACTTTAGGCATAGGCCTACCATTTAACCATCACCACTAATAATTTTATGTTATCACCATAGTCATCATTGTAAACTTTACAAGAACATTTGTGAGAAAATATGTGGACATAATCGTTAACGTAATATTGACGTGTTTCTTTTCTTCTTTTTTTATGTTTAAATCAATACTGAGTCACATTGGAATCTAATTGCAGAATGTAAAGCATCCAGAGAGATAATGTATTCAAACTGCCGATGAGTAATAACTATATGTTCGCGCTTAGCTGTGCAGGCACTGACGACAGCAACTGGCGGCTCGCTCAGCGGTTGCGTTCCAAGCTTTCAACCTCACTTTCTGTTCTTTGGCATTTTTAATCTACGCTTGTCTCTATCAATCGACAAATTATGTCGGCGCGACTTACGAATCCGAGCGAAATGCAATGGGTACAACAGAAACACGCTTTATGAAGACTGATGCAACATTTTATGACGGGGATCCGAACAACCGAACAAAGGGGCCGCAAGAGGCTCGTCCAGGGTCCCGGAATAAAATCCCAGGTGGGGTTCATGAGGATGGCCCAAACTGTGCTTTCAAACGAAAATTTTATGGATTGGCAATTACATTATATACATTTATTAGCCTATTATCAAACCCATTGGTTGTAATGTACAGAATGTAATGATGATAAGATGATAAATAATACCTATTAGGCCTACATACATATATTCTGTAATTTTACGCTTGGGATTGATAGAAATACTCCACAATTGCTATCACTTCACTTTTGTCGACAAATGAACGCAGCATGCAAAAATCAAATCATTATACGAGTAAAGACGTACAGAGTGCACTAAAATACTCCAATAATGTTTTATTACACGAGTTGTAAGCCTATCCATATTATTACATATAATGTGTACAAATCACGTACCTGTTAAATATGACGCTTCTGTGTTATTAACTCCGAATTGTGAGATCAGGAATTTCGGGATAAAATAAAGAAACCCGGTAACGATTGATATTTCCAAGCAGGCCACCATGCATATACAGATGTATGTCGGGTTGGTTAGCAGACTTATAAGGGCATCTTTCAAATCTGTCGGTAAAAAAATCATAGGCCTACTAATAAAACGATACGTTATTTATTGCTTTATAATTTAATCACTATTAGGCCTACAAGGTGTTTAAATTCTTCAACCCACTTACATGAGCTCCAATGCATGTTAAGTAGAGAACCGACTTAAGTAACTTGCAATAGGATTTGTAAGAGCAAAATTCAAAGCATTTCGAAGGAATAAAATAATAACACCTTCATATAAGCACACATTATTTATCTTAACACACGTTTCATTTCTAAATATAAATACCGTCGTGGTGTACACAGTATATATAAACAAGAAATACCATTTGAAGTAGGGCCGAAACAAAGTGGCTCCTTCAATTAAGGGAGTATGTCAGTGAGTTCTCTCGGAGATCGTTTGACCACACTGTCCCATCCTCAATGATGACTCCAGAAATTTGCCAACAAGGGATCCGTCATGTCCGACAGCGAGAACCAAGTGACCGACTGGTAGGGTTCATGGGGTGGGGGGAGCTATTATGGCTTAATACTGCTCAAAATTGTGCCTTTAGACAAGAATATAGGGACTGGCAATCACAGTAAGGTTTTGGATAAGTAAATTAATAGTTTTGGCCCGACGACCTTGTAGTGGCGGCGGACTACGGAGGAAGGTGGAGGGGGGGGGGGTTAGGTCTTTCCGAGACGGATTGGAAAATTTCCCTCCATCCTCAACCCCCCCCCCACCATTTTCCCCCCCACCATTTTTTTTTTTTGCTGGTGCCACCACTGCCAATCCTGCCAGCGATCAATTAGCAGCATATAATTTCACCATACTGTACCTACAAATGCTCTCTTACCAGATAAACTTGTACAATTGAATTGCATATTGACAACGTCATCATCTGATATCTCGTCTTCTGTTCTCGCCTGATGCTGCAGACTGCGCGGGAACGCCAGGATCGGTAGTGCCGTCAAAGCCATGATGGTGCCACATATCAGATAGCCTAGCCACCAGGCACCAACCCACTGAGGGTCATCGATGTCGATCGGAAGATCATTGAGATCCACCCTGCCAACATCCACATACACACTAACACACAAGCCGCCGATTAGAAACCCCAAAGCTGGGCCTACAGCAGTCATGCAGTAAACGATAGCTGGTGAAGAGAAAAGTACAGTAAACGCATTTAAGCTACAGCTATAAAACGCAGTGAAAAGAAACAAGCGTCAGAAACGCCTATAAGAACATACTGTAGTACCATGTACAGGGAATTAAATTTAATAAACCTCGAACCGTATTTTTTACTCATTTAATCTACAGCACTGCACAAAAAGCCTATTGTAGGCTACTGTACTGTACATGAATATTTTTACATCTGTTTCTGTAATAGGAGATACCGTTTTACCCGCGGCACGTCCCGTGTTCAAACACATTTCCTCACATTAACCAGGGAGTTGTAAATAACAACTCCCTGCATTAACCAGTTAACTTCTTATAGCTGAGGGCCCTACTAAGTGGTAATTTAAATAAAACTGAGACTCCTACAGTGAGTAATACTAAACCTGTGGTTTGAGTCCATCCATTTTTGTTGAGTATTGACATTAGGCATATAGGCCTATACCAGTATTATATTTCACTTATTATCATTACATATTGATGAATATGATATCGTTGCAGTTTCCATGGGTTTTTTTTTATGGGCCTATGATGACTGACTGGTAAACTATGAAGACACCTCAAATTAATCTGTTGAAGATGATTTCCGATGAGACACAGGTCAAAACAATTTAGTTATTAAAATATAACCACGAGATATTGACATCCCTTTTTTTTTAAACTATTTTTACTGTTTATTTACTAGTATAGGGTCCATTTTGTTTGATTCAAGATGTTAGTGCTTTTCTGTAGGCCCCTATTATATGCATTTTCAGAGCTTCACACATTACCCATTATACTGACTGAAGTGTTTGCTATTTAAGTTTAAGCATTTTATGTTAGAGAGTTGAACGGCTTTTGTTTACACAGCATCTTCGGGGTGATTCGCGAGAACGCTCAAACCTCAAATTTAAGGATACCTGTAGGCAATATCGAGACGGGGGCTTATACACTTTGTTTTTATAACTGTCCTAACAATAAAGTGACATGTTTCATTCCCCCGCCCCACCACACACTCTCACCCTAATGATGCTAGTCAGTTTTAAATATTTTAATGTCATGTTTTTTGTCTTGAAGTTATATAATAATTTAATAGTCGTATTCCTCGGCTCGGCTAGGCACACGGCGTGGTGTTTAAGTCACCGGTGGCGCCAGGTGGCAAGGAATTTCCCTTTCACCAACACTCGAACAGCCTGGACTCCCCGTCGTTCGACACCAGGGCGAGGTTGTCGGACGAAAAATATTAACTTGCCTATCTAAAACGTTATTTTATTATTATATTATTAATATTATGGTCTATAAGCACAATTTTGAGTCATGCTAAGCCAGAAACTCTCACCCCATGAATTTTTATTCCGGTACCCTGATCGAGGCTCAGCTCGAATTTAGCTTCGTCGTTTTCCTATTAAAACAATGGAGAAATAACATATTTTTTTAAATAGGGCCAAATAAGGAGTACTGTAGGCATAAGCCTAGGCCTATAAACTGTAATACACAACGTGTGAGTACGCAATTCGTGTAGACTTTTATATACTGAGTTAGATGCGCTTTAAATTCCTGTGCAAACACGGTTCCAAAGCGGTCATATTTACTGTGTTTTGTTTTCTCAAGCAGTGTTGACAATTCACACATTTACCGAACAATAGGCTTTAGACAACAAGCCATAGATTTTCATTGAAAATTTCAATAACGCCACAGTCCTGACGTCACTAAGCACGACGGATTTTGTCGACTTATTGTTAACAGTTCAGGAACTCGTAACTCCTGATTACCAATAATTACTAGATTCATGAAGACAATAATTATACACAGCCTGATTACCTTTGTCTTCGGTTAGGATTTTCTTTAATATTATCTGCCAAAACATCCTTTTCCTTCCCGACAAAGACTTGATCAACGAATTAAACTGCCGCTTATGACGCTTTCAAAGAATTCAACGTGGCGTACCGTACCGGTACTATGGAAGAGGTTAGGGATTCTTGTAGTAACATCATTAATATCATTATTTTAATAACTATGTACTGTTTGCGCGACGAGCTAATTAACTAACTCGCTCCAATAAAAAATCGCGCTAATTAAAGACCAACAACAATTAAAGACCACCTTCAATATTATTATAGAACACTTTACTGTAATAATATTCTAATTACAGACCAAAACTGCTAAAGACATTAGAAACCCCAATCCCAAAAGTGGTCTTTAATTAGAGGAAGACCTGTATGTTAGATACTACATTTAAATCGTTTATTTTGAACAGGCCCGAGAAAAATGTCTTTTAATTGAAACACATTGTACAAGATCGCTGATGAATCAGATGTTGATTTTACTGGTACAGAATTAATATATATTAGTAGCCTATGTAAACTGTATAGGCCTATGTATATAGGCTAAATATAGTACATCTATGCCTTATATATCAAGTTATTATTATTCATTGCATTTTTCCTCTTGCTGCTTCTGGGTTTTCCCCATGCCTTTAACTCAATTTATACACAAGTATCTCATTCGAGATCCAGCAAGTTGAAAATAATGCACCGAAGCGGGTGTATCTTAGATCTCTGACTTGGTCACGTGCGATAATAGTGTTTTATGAAAATCGTGAGTTAGACACGTTTTAATAGGATGAAAAGAACTCAAATTCTACCGAACGCGTGAATCACCAGAGTTCCTTCGTGGTCATGTTATTGTAACAATATATAATATATATATAGTACACGATATCAAAGGACGCGCTCAATCCATTAAATAATGCTTGTCATTAGAATCGTTTAATTCTTCGTAATGGACTCTCCAACGTGACGCATACTTTTTTATACCTTGTGATATTGTACAGGATATTGTACAAAGCGTTGAATGAAAGCTTGACGAAGGCCATAGATCCCGTGTCCTTTACCAAGGACTCGAAATTATAATCTATAAACGACTCGAAATTATAATCTATACTACAGATAGAGGAAACGGCACATCCGTCGCGGGCACAAACAAAACAAAACCAAAATCGGTTCCGGAACTGATACAGTTAGACTATGATTTAATAATGCTATCAAGTATAAATTACTAGTATTTGTTATGTTTTTAAAGCAAACACATCAATATTATTGTTATTATTTTTGCCGGTATCGGTGTTTTATGCATGTATGGTAATCTCACCTATATAAACAGCAGCATCTTCTTTTTTCACGTTATCGTCAACGTACGTAATCCCGAGGGTGAACAGGGGGGCAGCTGACATCCCCAGCAGCATTTGAGCTAATACAAATACAATAATTAGTTCAGAGTCTGTTCCTTTACCTAAACATCCGTAATAGCCGTCCTTATCAGCATTATTAGGGTCAATCATTCCAGAGTCGGCCCCCGACGAGCTAACGTTACCAGATCCACAGACTGGATGCGCTGAGGTAGAATTTTGTACCCCAGGTAGTTCGTACTTACCACCAAGAAGGTGGGGTAAGGTGAAAATGAAAGCTGAAAATGCCATGAATATGGCCCCACACCCAACCCATTTTGGTCGACTGCTACCTGGACGTCCTCCATAGAAACTTACAAAGGCTACTACAAGTAAATTTCCTATCTCATACCCGCTGACGATCAACCCTGCCTCTGTACTTTTGAGTTGAAATCGTCTCTCGATTGTGACAATAACACTACTTGTATACCCGACGATCATCATACTTTCAGCTAGGGTCAACAAACACATAAAAAACAAGAAACCCCTCGGCGTCGCCCAACGTTGGATAAACTTTGGCCGCCACATTCCGAAACCGCACTTGACTTCTGACGAATCGCCATCGTCATCGGGTACCTGGTTACATACACCTTCCGACGGCATTGCATTGAATGTGACCCTGTGTTCGTTACACACAGAAATGTCTATCTACTACGACTATAAACGGTATATTGCTAGTTTCAATACTAATAGTAGGCCTATGTATAAGTTGCCGTTCCCATCGTACAGTCACCAGTAGCTGTTTTAATAACACGTTATAATCATCCAAATCATTATACATGCAGAATTTACAGGCGTCGGCAAAATTCTCAAATAGGTACAGCATTACATTTATCAGTTTCCCTTCTATTCCGAGTCGATGGATAATAACACCACAATCGGCTCGGTAACGGATATTTGCATGTGAATATATCCACTACACCGTGACAATTCTGCCTACATAATTTATCATCGTAATAATTCTGTACAGGCGGTTGCAACTACTAATGGTCGTTATGGTTCAGTACACTCGTAAATAAACAGCGCCCCCGTAATCGGAAACTGTTGATTTGTCTAGGCCTACGTACTGTACAACACATATTTTGGGACAGACGCACACAGTAGTAGGCCTATAAACCTGTAAGAAACAGAAAATTGTCGATAAGTGCAGATTTTCTATACTGAATTATACATCGTCATTTTTCAATTTTAACATTTAACAACCTTAGGGCGGAGCAACTTTAAATTAAGCTATCATGGGTCGTAAGTGGAGGATACAGTACAGTATATAGAGAGCAGACAGCTAGTTTTATGGCCATACAACTTTAAAACACCGGCTTTCATCAAATTAGTTAATCAAAGTTCTCCCTCCCCCTCCCAGGTTAAATACCTGGATGAGGGAATGTCATGGTTATCATTAATTTAGGGCGGGGTTTTATTTTATTTATTTCGTCAAATAAAAATTAGGCCTACATAGAAACAGCCGTGCAGGACCAGATTGCTCAAAAGTGATCTCAACCCTCACATAGGACATCAGAAGCTGGACCCAGGGCGGATAGGGTTTTTGCCGATGCGCCTCCGGGGAATGGCGCCTTTGTTGAATAGCGAACAATAGCGTAACAGTATGGAAACACGTGCGTTTGTGCGACAACACGTGCTTGAAGGATGGCGGATGGTTGATTTGTGATAGGCCTAGTTGATGCATAGATGGATGGATGGATGGAGGGAGGGAGGGATACATGATTGATATAGTAGGGATGGATGGATGGAGAGATCGACGGATGGATGGGTAGATCTAGAGATCGACGGATGGATGGATCAATTGATGGACGGATAGATTGATGGATGGAGGGATGATTAGTGGATGAATGGATAGTGATGGGTAAATGGATGGATTGATTGATTGACGGATGGATGGATGGATGGATAGATGGATGGCGGATGGGTGAGTGAATGAATGAATGAATGAATGAACGAATGAATGAATGAATAAATGAATGATGGAGGGACAGAGGGAGGGAGGAAGGGGATAAGGGGATGGATGGATGGATGGATGGATGGATAGGATGTATAGACGATGGATGGATAAAGTAGGCCTATGGTTGATATACGGTGGATGAATGGATGTATAAATTGGTGGATGGATGGATGGTGGATGCGTAGATAGAAATTACCGTGTTGGATTCCGACTGGGTTTAGTCTAATTCCAATATTTTAGGTATTTTAG